CCGGCACGATGTTTTATAGTAGAAGTGTCTGCCGGGTCGAATTTCTGGTTGTTGGAGCTGTCAGGATTATCCATTTTCCAACGGAACTGTTTTACTAGTGCATTTCACGCACTTTCTACATTCACGTAGTCGCTAATGTTGTTTACCTTTTCTGCTGGCTGCACAGCACAACTTTTCCTCCGTTTTGACGTTTTTTTTCTCACTTGAATTCAATCATTAACCGTATTTAGGCTCTGAACCATTTGGTGGATTATTTTAACTTTTGGTTAAAATTTGACAGATGGAAAGTTATCGATTAACCCTGCTATCCGAGCGTGGTTATTTCTGACAGACAAGAAGTTAAATTTTGACGACCGTGGCTCGAAGACCGGTCGATCGACAGCACGGGGATTTTCGAACATAAGAAATAACTTTCGAAATGTCACTTTTAACTACGAGTTAAATTTAACTCGGCAAATGGTTCACAGCCTTAAACGATCCGTATTCGATTCCACCGTCGATTTAGCTCATAGTCAAATGTTGTAACCTGAATGGGCCAAGAAGAATCGATTTCCTTTTTTTCACGACAAAACACTATCAACCATTTGGTTCTACTACACTCATAAAATTCGACACATTTTTATTGGCGAATTTCCATGTTAAATTCCACATGATTTTCATGTGTCCACACATAAACAGAATCCACTCAGAAGTACACATGAAATTTATGAGTCAAATGAATAGTATGTGTGGTTACACATGAATTTTATGTGTACACATAAGAAGTATGTGTCCAACACATAAATATTATTTGTTTATCACATTGCAAAAAATCATGTGTGGGACATATAAAAATAATCATTGAATTTTTATTAGTGTATATTCATTCGTCTTGATCTTCTTTTCTTCTACACACTTTCTTGACCCCCTTGTTGCCAGTAATAATTCATATGCGATACAACAAAGTTCATTGAAATTCAACGATGTTCTCAGAAATAAAATCAGTGCCAATGGGTACTAATGGGGTCTCATTTAGTGCCCCTTTCTCTTGAGCCCACTCTAGAGCCTACATTTCGTATTTAGATCTATAAGTAAACTGCTGGTCTGAGTTCCTCTGCTATATTCAATTAAAGGATGTTCCTGAATATACACTCAAACAGCACGTAATGTTGTAAACAGCTTCAACGACAGTTGTTCAGCAGTGCTCCTATTTTATTTACAACAATCCAATGCCTACGAGATTGTGCCGCAGGTGTGCCGATGGATGTGCCCAAGCTGTACCGAATCTAATTTCGGTACGATGTGCTGAGTGACTTACCCAACATTTAAAACGGGCGAAATTGCTTTTGTAAACAATTACTTTAGCCGTCGATTTCTCGCGAATAAAAGCTCACACATTTAAATTAACGACGCCATCAGGTAGAGCAATGTTTGTTTTTTTTTTCAGCTGGCATCGTTAATGAGCTTTTATTTGCGTGAAATAGGCGGTTGAATGTTGGCACTAAAATGATGTTCTCTTAACTTTTACGAATTGCTCTTGACTTCTAAGAAGGTCACTGAACTTCTGGGAAGGCTCCCCAACCAGAAAATTGTCTTTGGGATATTTTGCTCTGTAAAAGCAGGAAAGACCTTGTATTTCCTTAACTCTCCGACGTTTCCGGGATATATTTTACCGTCGAAATAAATAAATAAATCCCTGAAGATGGTACCACCGAAAATCCCCCTTTAAAAAAAACATCCGAAGTCCGTATTAACAAATTCGGTCGAGAATTCGTCAATTCCAGTCGGGGTTCTGCAGATCATAAATCTTCTTTCTATCTATTCATATCATGCGCATCTCACGACGGCAAAACTAAATCTTCCCTGCATCTTACATTTGTCGTTTTTGTTTTAACCCTAATTTTAACGGTTTGTTTGAAGCGTGGACGAACGTTTGTCACCCTAAAACAGTTAATTATATGCTTCAGGTCCAAAAACTGGACCTGAAGCATCTAATTAAGGAATAACACCAACTGACTTCGATGGAAGAACGTTTTGGATATAAGTCACCGTATTCATCGCATCTGACCTGAAGTGGCCTTCGAGTTCGAGTCATGAGTAATAATTATTATACTGCGCTAATATTCCACTCTGCAGATAGATGATTCTCAAGGCTGTCTCACCGGATAGCTTTCGATACTCAAGGCCCAAGCGCAATGGCAGCGGAAGCGGAACGGCAGCGGCAGCGGAAAAGCCCGATTTGAGTAAGCCTACTTGTCGGATTGAAAACTAGTTAGAAGTTCTAACAATCTCTCCAGTGGTGCCAGGATAAATCTCCGAGGAGACAAGCAGAGATTCATCCAAGAGAATGATATCTCTCGCACCCGGGTGATTCTCCCCAGACAACTTTCAACCCTGATTGGAACAAGCTGGGTTTTGACGCATGATTTCGTCTATCGGCAACATATTGGGAGTGCAATTTCAAAGAACCAAAATCGACCCCGTTATCAAAAGTGGTCTGGTTTTGACCACTTATAACGCTGTCAATAGCGGATGGATTTTAATTCTAAACAAGCCAATCGTTTGGAAATTTTTCTACAAATGTGCTAAATTGAACACTTTATCAATTTTCAATAGGTCACTATTGAAAATTACATAAATGTCCAACTGTTGCAATTTTGATAAAAATTATCACCGATTGCCTGCAAAACGCGCTTTCCATAACACAGATTTTAAAATCGAATTCCATCCTGTCTCGCCGAACGGTGCTTATTCACCGTGTTTGGTGGTGTTCGGTCAGTCGTCATCAGCAGCAGCAGCAGCAGCAGTGCTTTCGGCGCGTGGCGTTAAACATTGTTCTCCAGTACACAACGCAAGGCTGCCCGAAAGCAACGAGCTGCAACCCACATGAGCGTCCATTCACCGAAGAAGGAGGAAGAAGCCGCACCGGTACTGATCGGATTCAGTAGCTCTTCGTGAGTCGCTGTGGGCCATCTATATAAAGCGTGAGGATGACGTTCTAAACCACATAAAGCTCACCAGCTTCATATGTGTTGAACACCCTAATAGCTCAGCCAGCATTACTTAACCATCACGACAAAACGGTTCTTTTCAGGATAAAAATTCTCGCAATGACCGAATACCACATGACCTTGTTAATTAACCAGAAACACTTCGAATTAAGGTAGGGTTTTCTCCAGGACGCTTGAAAAAAAGCAACAACAAAATCTCGAATTTATATGATTGATCGCGAATATCTCGCGATTGGATTTTTTTTTTGCAAAAGATTCCTTAAATCAATTTTTGCATTTTTTTTTTTTATTATCTATTGAATATATCAAAAATTCCGAGCGTTTTGTGTACGAAAATGCGAAATTTTGTCATCAAAAAGCGAGACGTTTCCGTGACGGGAAAAAGTGGTTTCCCTAACACAGTCGCCGAATATTGATACTGAGCACGTACTCCTACGTGTCTTGGATACAACCTCTTACTTTTTGATTCTAAAAGAATCTAAACCTTAATATGCTGCCTCAAGAACACTCCAACGTTGCGGTAATGCATTTCACCATTTTCAAGCATTTAGATATTTCGGTTTCTCGTTATTCGTATGCATAGTCTTAGGTTAATCTATCTTATACTTTTAATGATGTCCATCTCAGGAAAGCACGTTCCCACAATTGTGTGTTCCCCTGTTTTCTTCCATTATTATTTAATTTGCTACATTTTGACTGAAACAGCTGAAACCCCAAATAGTCTTCTAGGTGGCTTAAATATGCTGCTAGTTCATTGCGTTACTCTTCAATCGGTTCAGACCACCATGATTGAAAGCAACAGCTACCACTTCCTAATTGACGAGAAGTTGACATTGTGCATCTTCCAACAGCTTCCAGGTAATATTTATTTCGAATCCAGGAACATACAGCACCTCGAACGAAGTAACGGTCGGAACCAGCAGCCTCACCATTGGCTAGGCAATCGATCTTCTCTGTGGTTGGTTTTAGAACACCAAGGAAACGACGATCCAGTCAATCCTGTTTCAATCATAGACGATGTATCTGGTTTCAACCAGTACCACCGTACAAAACAAACACGTACGATCTACCCTTACCATATCTAATCTTCAAGTGCATTGTCTTATTTACTGCCTTGTCTTGATGATTCGAGTTAATAAAAGCTTGGCAATATTCGTCGTTCTTCGAAACCAGCAAAACTGTCTGATCTGTAGGTTCTCTTATGACATCAGGAGGCATCGCAGCAGATTTAGATCGTCACCAGCATCATGAAGTCAACATTTCCAACTCGTAGATACGTACTTGTTTCCACCCTCAGTAAGCTTCGCATCGTAGATATCTCCAACGCATTGTAGTTTTCTAGATAGTTTAGTTTTCTTTCAAACTTGTAGTTTTCTTATACAGAGCCTTCTATCGAATTCATATCTATTTCGAAGTTTTTGCGTTACAAACGAGTGGATGTTGATGTTTCTTAACCTTATTAGCCAATAAAGAGACCATCACAAGAACCTTTCTGCCTCCTACTGTCCGCGGTGGGATGACCGAGTTTGGAGATCCTTCGGCGACCAATATCCAAAGATTTCCACGCTTCAACAGCATAACACTATACACGCTTACTTGAAAGTACCCATTAATGAGTAAAAAATTACCCATTTTGAAGAAAAGTTGCTTAACTAATTGATGATTAAAAAAAATTACACATTGATGAATAACAGATACTCAATAATGAGTAACAAATACTCATTAAGAGATGAACCAGCCTCTGGCTGAAAGTCTCGCTAATAAAGATAACCTAACCTAACCAAATAATCATTAATGGGTAAATTTTTTTACTCATTTAATAAGTTAAGACACTTTTTTTCAAAATGGGCGTGTAGTCGGCGGCATTGATTTGAGAAAATCGACATCTCCCAGAAGAAATATAAATCGCTGGGATAGGACTTATCTAGTCAGACAAAATGCTATGCATCATGGGATTGCCATACACTGTAGTGACCTGTAGGAAATATCCATCAATAAGCATAGACATACCTCTCTCCGTGGAACATCATCAGACTGGGTAAGTGTTCGTCCTCGGCGACACCGTCCAGTGAATCGTACACAATGGACCCGGTATTGAGAAAAGATGATATCGCAAAAGCCCCCGCCAAATCCCTATTTAAATGGTATGCAGTGTGCAGCGCTAGTGCTCCTCCCATCGAGAATCCACCTTAAATTTTAAACTTATCAACAATCACACCTTACAATCATAAAATCCCAAAACTTACCCACAATAATCCTACTAGCCGGCACCCCCTGGGCCATCTCCCGAATCAAAATCTCATTCACGGTGTCGTAGATCGACGCCAGTGACGTCCTAATTTCCGGACAATCCATCTCGATCCGTTTCCGATTGAACCAAACGTTGGAATTGTCACCGCCCATCGGAGCATACGGTTGCACCGGTGCCGTCGGAATCACGACCTTAATGTGAGGAAATTCCATATCCCGTCCCAGCAGGAACCGAATCCACTCCGTCAGACCATTGCCGGTGTCTCCTGCAAGTGGAATAAGAAAAGTTTTACAAGTTCGATCAACGATTCGCCAATGAACTGCATTAGAACTTGACATTTGCCCCATCGACTGTAGTCGAAATTTACATAATCAATTTTGCACAGTTCTGGCGACGAGGACTGAGTTCGATTGAAAACAAATTTAACAACTTACCTGATCCATGGAAGAAGATTAAGGTGCCGACATGATTCTTTCCCGTCGGGTTGAACACCTTTTCGATGAGTCTCATTTTTTTTACCGTGTGTGGTTTAAATCAGGTACGATAAAATAAAAATAAAAACAATTACTTCCCCTAAGTACGACTACCCTCGGTTGCGCTAATGAAGTAACTGACAGTCAGTGCAGCTAATAAAGTGCTCGCAAAACTCGTCGCCAATAAGTAAAAACGAAATCAAAAACATTATTTTTTTCTCACACGAAAAGCTAACGTGTTTACGAACATAAAGACAAAATAAACACGATAATGACAATCGAGAGTCGAGCAAGCGCACGTGCTACTTGAATTTGAAACTTGAAGTCACTGACTGGAACAGAGGCTGATTAAAAATGCTCGAATGGAAATTTAGTTAGCTGTAGGTGAATTTTGAAAACATCTTCAAAGCGATCCACGAAACGTATTCACATGTCTTCAAGGGTACTTTTATATAACTGAGTTTTGACAGACGTTCGGGGAAACTTCTCAGCAGTTTAGGGAATTCAAGGCCAATTTGTATGAGTTAAGGACAACATCATATGATACACTAAGACCAGAAGAAACATATTCAATCTTTTGGCTCAGGATGTACCAGACCTTCGGTGCCAAGCTAATTGAAACACCACTTGAAACGTAGGAAAATCCACGAACCCCTCATTAAACTTTGTCAAATTTATAAGACGAATCAAAGCAAACGGACTCGCTCTAGTACGATACTGTGATACGCTTATAGATGTAATTGGGACCGAGATTGGGATTGTGAAGATAATATCCGGAGTCAATTGTGATTAGGGTGAAACTAGCAATCATACGGAGCGGGCAAGGATCTACACACTTAGAAATTATCGCCGACGTCGGTAATTTTTACCGAAATCTAAACAGCTGAACTGTTCGGTAAAATTTATGCGATTCAATTCAATTGCTTTTAAGCTACTTTGAAACTAAATCTCCACTAAAATGACAACATTTGATCATTTAACCAAGATTGAACATGTTTTAAAATTATTATCAAATTCAATGAAGGTCAAGTTTTACCGAACGTTCAGCTGTTCTGATTTTGGTAAAATTTACCGAATACGGAAACAAAATCTTACTATCAAATACCCACAATTTTTTTTTAATCTTCCACTATCGAAAAATCCGTGCAAAGCGAAAGGCGAAACAAAATGGATTACGCTCTTTCCTTTGTTAACAATAGTCCAAGGCGCAATTTTGAAACATGAAAGGGGGAAATCAATGTTGTTTACCAACAAAAGCGAAAATAGTAAAAGGCAAGGTGACTACAAATAGGTGTTCTAATGTGTCAAATTCATGATTCAGCCATGTTGGATTTTTGTATGGGACAGCGACCGAGTTTGTTTACAATTTGTTCTAAAACCGCACATTTCCCCCCCGCGACCTCCTCGCCTATATAGTGACAAAGCTGTATCACCATTTATATACCCACCATGGTAAAAGGCTCATCTTTAGCTGAAACGTAAACACGGCGAAAAGTCAAGGGCGACACTTTCAAGCAGGGTTGCTTCCACTCACTTGCTATAAAAAAATGTTTATCGGAATTATTAAAACATTAGATGGTATGATGCTATTTTTACTTGTAAGTAACAAGAAGAGGGTGTAAAGTATTGCTGATTGCATCCGAAACTGGACTGTCGCAAAAATGCAAAAAGTGTAATAAAAGTGCACGTCAAATCGTTTTGATGTCTTTGGAGCACTTATTGCTTGCATCATAAGGAATAAGTGCACCGAAGACACCAAGACGATTAAACGTAAACTTGCAATTTTATCACACTTTTTAATAAGAGAAAATGCGCTTATTAGTCCAATTTGGTGCTTTCAGAGCGTTACAATCAGCGATCTTATGATTCGCGAGCGTTCACTCAGAGTGAGCACTCATGAATCGTTAAATTGCTGATCGTGATGTACTGGAAGCAATATTGACAGATTTTATGTGTCAACCACATACTTCACGACATCTTCTTGTAACTTACAAGTACTAATTATCATTATAACATCTAATGTTTTCATAATTCTGAAAAACATTTTTTATAGCAAGTGAGTGGAGGTAAACCTGCATTTAAGGAAATCAAAACAAGGCGCATAGTATTGCGTTGTTGTCATACATGTTCGGGCCGATTTAATGAGGGCGTATTCTTGACGTTCCGCATTTACGGGTGAAATTATAAAAATGACGAGTTTTCAAGAGAAAATGAATAAAAAGGGGATTTTAAACTCAACACAAATGAAAATAAGTCAATTTTACGATCATACATTACGTGCAAACTTGCTCGGTTTTTCTCAATTTGTTTACACTTTGCTAATTTCGGCCTAATCCCAATTTGCTCCGGATTTGCCGGCATTGAAGGTTTTCCCTCAGCCGCTCGAAAACCAGACGGAGATGTTCCTTGTGTTGCTCGTTGTCGCGTCGTCGGATGCGATACAAAGGTCATCAACGTAAGGGAAAATGAAATCAAAGTCACCCAAAATGTCGTGAAGATGCCTTTGAATTGAAGCGTTTGCCCCGCGTTCCGGAGTCCGAATGTCACGAACTTATATTCGAAAGGCGTGGTGTTAGCAGTTTTCGAGATGTCTTCCGATGCAACGGGGATTTGGTGGCAGGCCCGCTAGAAATCGATAGAAGAAAGCGCCTTTTTGTTGTGCAGGATGTTGGAAAAATCCTGGCTGTGCGGTATCGGATACCGATCAGGAACCGTTATCGCATTGAGATTCCTGTAATCACCACATGGACGCCATTTTCCGTTCGATTTCTTGACCATATGGAGAGGGATGGCCCAAGAGCTTTTGGAAGGTTGGCAGATACATTGCTCCATCAAAAACGTGAACTCAGTTTTCGCTTCATTTCTTTTATTCTTTTACTTTTCAATACAACAGCAAATGTGACGTCACATGTGTAAAAATGTCGCAGACAAAACATTCCACTGCCAGACCACGCTGTATGACATTCTGTTTACACTCCTGAGCGGGAAAGACTTCTCTGACGTTTATGAATTGCACAAGTATTAGTGCAGAACTTGGGGTAAATTATAAGTAGTAAGCAAGAAAAACAGGCTACATGCAATGCTGCCATCTCCCCTGTTTGTGTTTAATTGAATCCTTTTTTACCTTTGTAGGTAATTGGAATTTTTAGTTTTATTTATTCCGTTTTTGATATTTACTATATTCAACATTAAAAACATTTACTCATTTAAGTATTTGCATGTTTTAATAAACTTATATTAACTGCTAGAGGTATAGCGGCGCCGGGCGAAACCGAACCTTTTGTCAGTGCGAACTTTAACCTGAGCTGAGCAAGTACTCCGCTGTTTACTCGTTGATGTGCCCTAGGTAGTAACTTGAAAAGCCATGTGTGTCCATTTCCTTGATCCCTGTTGAGTAAAGTTGAATTCCGTTGTTTGTTGATCTCGAGGCTCTCTGCAACATCCAATTTCCATGTGTTCTGCAACTTTTGATTTGAAATCATATGTTAGGCCTTTTTCCTCTTGCTTTTTGGCCTTATTAACCTCCGCTATATGTTCTTTAAATCTAGTTGCTAAAGTTCTGTTGGTTTGTCCTACGTATATTTTGTTCCAATGATTACAGCTTACTTGCTTTACGTAAAACATTTACTAGTTCTTTGGTGGATCCTAACAATGTTTTTAACTAGTTATGTCTACTGGTGAAAACTAAATCTAATCCGAATTGTTTTAACTGTGGTCTTAGCTTATAAGTAATATCTTGATCAACTCCCACTCGTTTCAAGAGTTCAGGTGCTGCGATGAGGGTTGTCAATAATCTCCTTTGTAGAATTCTCACTTTTTTATCGATGATTGCCTGGATTGTGGAGATTCGCTGTTTCGAATATGTATTGTAATTCCTTAACCTTTCCTGTATTGCTGAGTGGAAGAGTCTGCATCCGATGAATCATGTGGTGGAAGGCGGCCATTTTCTGCTGAAACGAATGGTTGGAAGTATAGTAAGTATAACTCTTTTGGTGCTTGTTGGTTTCCTGTAAATTTCGTATGCAAGCGAAGAAGATGATGACGATTCCCTGATGACTACAAGATCGACAAATGCGAGTTTCCCGTCCTTTTCTACCTCGTGAGTGAATTTGATATCCTTGTGAATTCTGTTGATCTGATCTTAAATTTGTGGATGGGCTTCCCGTTTAACTATGCTGAAGATGTCGTCAACAAACCTCCACCAACGGTTAGATAATAGTCCTTTCTCCTTAAGAATTGTCTCCAAGTTGGCCATGAAAAGTTCACACAGGAAGGAGGATAGGGGGTTTCCCTTTGGGGCTCCTTTCGTCTGCTTGTAGAAGTTACCTCGGAAAGAGAAGTAGTTCTCTTCCATACAAAGGCGGGTCAGCTTAAGGTACGTCCGAACCTTGTTTCTCCATGCTGCATCCTCTCGTTGTGTTAATAGCCGGTCCTCCAAATGGTTGATCCCTTCCTTGACCGGTACGCTGGGAAAAAGGGCTGTGACGTCGAAAGATACCATAATCTCGTCTTCGTTGATGTCTCCTGAAGATTGTAGTTGCTGGGCAAACTCCTGGGTGTTACTAACTGCTTTACTGCTCGTATTTCATTCCCCGGTTTGTGGACTGTGGGGAGACCTTTGATCATGGGTAGAATAGGAATGGATTCCCGTAAACGACCTGCTCCATCTTCTAATATTGATTTGCATTCCTTCAGTGCTTTCTCCACGCAGGTTCCGTTTCCTATCCGATGCGCACTCCTCTGCTACCTTGGCCCTACACAGAAACTCCTGGAATTTAATTGTATACCCCTTGGCCAATTTGAGATGTAGAAAATAACATTCCAAAATCTTCATGTTCAGTTTGATAGTCGTCTGATGGTATCCTTGATGAACTCTGCTTCCATCCTCTTTACTACGCTGGGTGGGGTGGGTGTCCGTACCTTAATCCTATGGCTTATAGATATAAACCTTATATTTTAGGCATTTCTTCAGAAATGCTACGTCCTTACGAAATTACTAATCCTTCTCTCTCTCTCTTTGTATTGGTGTTTTATTTTGTTCACCAACAGATTTGACCTACAGTTTATATTAATTTTGTGTATTTGCTTAGGTGAAACTGTGGAATACTACACTCAAAAAATTCCACACGTCAT